GTGATGGTCTGTGATGGTTTGTGATGGTCTGTGATGGTCTGTGATGGTTTGTGATGGTCTGTGATGGTCTGTGATGGTCTGTGATGGTCTGTGATGGTCTGTGATGGTCTGTGATTGTCTGTGATGGTCTGTGATGGTCTGTGATGGTCTGTGATGGTTTGTGATGGTCTGTGATGGTCTGTGATGGTCTGTGATGGTCTGTGATGGTCTGTGATTGTCTGTGATGGTCTGTGATGGTCTGTGATGGTTTGTAATTTCCACTTTGAGTCTTGGTCACACCTCTGATAATGACGCCAGGCGGTTGCCAAGGCAACCAGCCAGGAGGAAATGAGCGAACGATTAAATGATGAAGCAGCTGCTGTTCATAAACTCCTCATCCTTCTGTCTTCACATTTAATCCAACTGTGATTGTGAAACAGAGACAAAACATCTGGATCAGCTGATTCTAGCTGCCAAAGCGACCCGCAGAACCAGAACCGCAGAACCAGAACCATGGGCCAGCAGGACTTCCTGCTTCAGCAGAGAAACCGCAAGTAGAATCCTGAGGTCATTAGGGTCATGAGGTCAGGAGGGTCATGAGGTCATTAGGTTCCTACCTTCAGCAGCCGTTTTGTCCTCCAGCTCAAACATCCGTCCAGAGTCTGAAAGACAGAAAGAAGCAGAGTCAGCAGTTTGTCCACCGGTTAGTGGATCTATCAGTGAGTTTAGGGGAAGCGGCTCTGAGCCGTTAAAAGGTCAAGAGTTCAATGGAAACTATCCACTATTAGCATAAATGTTTGTCCAGTCCGTAGAAACGTGTCCCTCTGGACAGCTTCACCTCAACCAGAACAGCATCAAAGTTCAAAGGTATTTTATTTCCACTCCACAGATCAGAGAGAATTAATAACAATGTTAATCATAACATTTTAATTCAACGCTGGTTTCTACAGAATGAACCGTGTGAAGCGGGCCCCAGCAGAACTCAGCCCGGGGCCCCACAGGGCCGGGGGCCGCCTCTGCAGCACCATTAAAACCAAAACGATTATTTATGTTTGTTTGTCCCAGGTGACAAAAATCACATGTTCAGTGTTTGTTGCTGAGCGTGTGACCTCTGACCCCGTCAGCAGATGAAGGGATTCAGTTTCTCCTTCCTGAGACGAAATGGAACCAAAAGTTCGTTTATGAATATGAAATGATCCAGAGACACAGAAACGCATCATTTCGATTCTGTCTCAAAGTAAAACTGGTGGGTGAAAATGAGAGTTGAGACTCTGCAGCAGTTCTGGATCAGGTTTCATATTCGTGGGAGAATCGATTCATATTTTTCATTTTCAGTGTCGGCACCAAATAGCGGCAGCAGATTCTCAGTGAGTCACTGGAAGCTGCTGCTGACGGAGCATCAAGAACCTTCGTTCAGATATGGATCAGACAAACGTCCCGTCAGCAGGACAACGGAGACCAGCAGGACGACAGAGACCAGCAGGACGACAGAGACCAGCAGGACGACAGAGACCAACAGGACGACAGAGACCAGCAGGACGACAGAGACCAGCAGGACGAGACCAGCACAGAGACCAACAGGACGACAGAGACCAGCAGGACAACGGAGACCAGCAGGACGACAGAGACCAGGACGACAGAGACCAGCAGGACGACAGAGACCAGCAGGACGACAGAGACCAACAGGACGACAGAGACCAACAGGACGACAGAGACCAGCAGGACGACAGAGACCAGCAGGACAACGGAGACCAACAGGACGACAGAGACCAGCAGGACGACAGAGACCAGCAGGACGACAGAGACCAACAGGACGACAGAGACCAGCAGGACACAGAGACCAACAGGACGACAGAGACCAACAGGACGACAGACCACAGGACGACAGACCAACAGGACGACAGAGACCAGCAGACGACAGACCAACAGGACGGAGACAGGACGACAGAGACCACAGGACGACAGAGACCAACAGGACGACAGAGACCAGCAGGACGACAGAGACCGCAGGACAACGGAGACCAGCAGGACGACAGAGACCAACAGGACAACGGACCAGCAGGACGACAGAGACCAGCAGGACGACAGAGACCAACAGGACGACAGAGACCAGCAGGACGACAGAGACCAGCAGGACAACGGAGACCAGCAGGACGACAGAGACCAGCAGGACGACAGAGACCAGCAGGACGACAGAGACCAGCAGGACGACAGAGACCAACAGGACGACAGAGACCAACAGGACGACAGAGACCAGCAGGACGACAGAGACCAGCAGGACGACAGAGACCAGGACACAGAGACCAGCAGGACGACAGAGACCAGGACGACAGAGACCAACAGGACGACAGAGACCAGCAGGACGACAGAGACCAGCAGGACAACGGAGACCAGCAGGACGACAGAGACCAGCAGGACGACAGAGACCAGCAGGACGACAGAGACCAGCAGGACGACAGAGACCAGCAGACGACAGAGACCAACAGGACGACAGAGACCAGCAGGACGACAGAGACCAACAGGACGACAGAGACCAGCAGGACGACAGAGACCAACAGAACGACAGAGACCAGCAGGACGACAGAGACCAACAGGACGACAGAGACCAACAGGACGACAGAGACCAACAGGACGACGGAGACCAACAGGACGACGGAGACCAGCAGGACGACGGAACCAGCAGGACGACGGAGACCAACAGGACGACGGAGACCAGCAGGACGACAGAGACCAGCAGGACGACAGAGACCAGCAGGACGACAGAGACCAGCAGGACGACGGAGACCAGCAGGACGACGGAGACCAGCAGGACGACAGAGACCAGCAGGACGACAGAGACCAGCAGGACGACAGAGACCAACAGGACGACAGAGACCAGCAGGACGACAGAGACCAACAGGACGACAGAGACCAACAGGACGACAGAGACCAGCAGGACGACAGAGACCAGCAGGACGACAGAGACCAGCAGGACGACAGAGACCAGCAGGACGACAGAGACCAACAGGACGACAGAGACCAACAGGACGACAGAGACCAGCAGGACGACAGAGACCAGCAGGACGACAGAGACCAACAGGACGACAGAGACCAGCAGGACGACAGAGACCAGCAGGACGACGGAGACCAGCAGGACGACAGAGACCAGCAGGACGACAGAGACCAGCAGGACGACAGAGACCAGCAGGACGACAGAGACCAACAGGACGACAGAGACCAACAGGACGACAGAGACCAGCAGGACGACAGAGACCAGCAGGACGACAGACCAACAGGACGACAGAGACCAGCAGGACGAGACCAGCAGGACGACAGAGACCAACAGGACGACAGAGACCAGCAGGACGACAGAGACCAGCAGGACGACAGAGACCAACAGAACGACAGAGACCAACAGGACGACAGAGACCAGCAGGACGACAGAGACCAACAGGACGACAGAGACCAGCAGGACGACAGAGACCAGCAGGACGACAGAGACCAACAGGACGACAGAGACCAACAGGACGACAGAGACCAGCAGGACGACAGAGACCAACAGGACGACAGAGACCAGCAGGACGACAGAGACCAACAGGACGACAGAGACCAGCAGGACGACAGAGACCAGCAGGACGACAGAGACCAACAGGACGACAGAGACCAGCAGGACGACAGAGACCAACAGGACGACAGAGACCAACAGGACGACAGAGACCAGCAGGACGACAGAGACCAACAGGACGACAGAGACCAGCAGGACGACAGAGACCAGCAGGACGACAGAGACCAGCAGGACGACAGAGACCAACAGGACGGATTGGCTTCTGATGATCGGCCGGCGGCGAGCGCTAAATCATTGAGTTTGTTTTAATTTATTGTGAGATTAATCGATTAATTCCTTTTGCGACAAGATCAAGACGCTCCATCTTTACTGAGCGTCTGATGGGGATCGATGCCCCCTGGTGGCCTGGAGGTTGAACGTTTTTGGAGTTTGTAGCGTTTTAGTTTTTTTCTGTTTCTGATTTCTGTTGCATTGTCGTTTTGTCATTTGGAGGTTGCATTGTAGAGACCCCTGCAGGTTGCAGCTTGTTTGCACCTGTAGGCCTCCGTAGTTTTCAGCAAAATCAGAAAACATAATCAAAAGTTTAATTTTTAATTTATTGCTGAGGTTCTGTGTGAACATGGACTATTTTCTTCTTCAGATCTGGGAAACACTTGGAATAACTTTCCATAACATTCAAAGCAAAGCAAACATCTGCAGCAGGAATTATCTGGACATAGTTTGGTCCAGATCCAGATCAGGCCGAGCCAGGATTCCCAAACCAGAACCAGAGGAATTCTGCTGAAGTGATCCGAATCAAATCCACGTTTTCCCCTCTGATAAGCTCTCCATATTTATTCATTATTTGTATATCAAATAATCAAAGGACATTAATCCTTTTGTGTCTGAACCTTTGACCTCTGAGGATGAAACGCTTTCCTTCACTAAAAAAAACAGCAGCTGATAAAACTTGAAAAAATTTGTTAAATTGTCTCAATAAATCAAATTATGTTTATGTAAATATGTTGTTTGTAAAGTTGTGTTAAAATGTAAATAAGTTGAGTTTGACCACTTAGTTAAATGCATTTTTTAAAGTTGTTTAAGGCGCCGCCTCACAGTCACACTGTAAAACATTAACAGCAAAAATGTTGTTAATTGAACTTCAGAGAAAAACAAAATGGAAGTTCAATTTTTATCGTTTTATTCTGACATTTACAAATGTAACAAATTCAATATTCACAAATTAATCTTTTATCCTCGCATAGCTCAGTCACTATTCTATTACTTAAAATATTTTTAAGCCCTTTTGAAAATAGGCTTATTTTCAAAAAATAAGCCTATGTAGTTTGTCAAATATGTAGTTGACAAACTACATATTTAGTTTACTACCAGTTAAATATTTAGTAGCCAAATATTTTAAAGTAAACATTTAATTTAAAAATAAATGTTAAGTTTGGTTGCTAGATTGATGTTTAGTTAGTAAATTAAATATTTAATTTTGAACTAAATATTTAGTTTAGACAAGTAAAATTTTATATTGTGGAATAAATGCTTAATTTAAAAGTTCAATGTTTTGTCTGTAAACTAAATATGCAGCATTTAGTTTGGAGTGTACGAATAACATGGTGAAAACTTATAAACCAAATGATCGCATTTAGTTTTTTATTGTGTCACTTCGCTCCGCCGGTCGCTGCTCGCAGCCTCCCCGGCGGGGCCCTCTCTTGACGGCAACACGTCATGGAACATTCCCGGAACCAGCCAGCACACCACCCACCATCCCTCCTGCTTCTCTCTCTCACACACACACAGACACACACACACACACACACACACACACACACACACACACACACAGAGACACACACACACACACACACCTCTGCGTGCTCAGGGGGAGGAAGGCGATGAGCAGCAGATAAAGTTCCTCCCTCTGCAGGAGAAACTCCCGCAGCAACTGGAGCCTCTGCGGAGGGAAGCAGCTGCAGCTGCTGGAGAATCTGAGGAATGTCACTTTGATGTGAAACGAGGAAATACCGAGCGGAGAGCGGCGGGGTCAGCCTGCAGCCCGGACTCCTCACAGTCAAACTGAAACTCACTGAAGCTGCCGTGCGATTCACAGCTTCCTCTTAAAGCAACAGTTCCCTCTTTCTACAGCAGAACCGCCTCGAACCTGGACGGACCGGGCTCGGTTTTCATCTGAGCTTAAAGCGCCATGACGGAGGAGCCGAACCTCCCGCCACCCGAACAACTCAGAGAATCTGACTTTAAAACGAGGTTGGATTAAAACCACATGAACCAGACAAAACAGCGCGAGCTCAAAAGCTAGCTGCGCTAAGCCTAAAGCGCCAACCAGAACCGCTAATGCTACGCCAGCATAGTCCTTAGCAGAAGCTAACGCTAACATGCTACAGGAGCTAACGACTCAACAGCTGGTTGCGACGATCCTGAACATCATTATTCCATTTATAGAAATATTTTTAGTCACAATCAGGTTCAGCTGAAAATACGTCAATATTTGAAAAATATCAAAGCTGAACTGGATTAGCGAACATGAAAAACAAACCTGCTGTTAACCACATGGGAACCTGAGAAAACACATTTAAACCTCTGAACCGTAAAATCCAGCAGGAACCGTTTCCTGCTGTCACAGCAGAATCAGACAAACGTTTTCTGGCTGAAGAAACCCTGGAGGTCAGAGGTCAGCTGCGGTCGTTTTGATTCTTGGAGATGTTCACTCCAGCTGATTCATCGTGTTGAACAGAAAAGCATTAAAACGTTTTCCGTCTGCGGTTCTGATCCGGTTCTGATATCAATAACCTGGTTTCATTGATGAACCAGATTCATCAATAAAAATCAGTTTGAATTCAGATTTCGTCACTGAATGTGAAGTTTAGCTGAGATCCTGAACCCGGGAAGGTCATGAACTTTGAACTTTGAGCCTTAAAATACTGTTGCTTTAGTTTGTCTGCACTCAAAATGTTAACATTTTAAATCCTAAGGAATTTAAATGTCATAAAAACATAATCACTGAAACTGTTTCACCAAGTTTTGATCCACAGGGTCAAAGGTCAAAGGTCACAGATGAAGCAAAAAAATCTGCTTCACTTCCTGAAATGGACCAGCAGGAATCACTGGAGTCAATCAGAACCAAATGACAGGAAATAAACTGGAATATTAATAAAGTCAAACTGAGAGGTCAAAGGTCAAACTCAGGAGCTAACGGTTGCGATAGCTTCAGTATCAGTCGTGGCTTTTTGCACTTTTACATCTCTCCAGGATTTGTTTGAGCCCCTGGTGTGTTTAGATTGTTGCTGGCTGAACTGTTTAGTGCGGCTGGACAGTTTTCCCCAGGAAACAGCGGACTGGCCCTTTAAAGCAGACAGGCTTCAATCAGACACCAACTTCAATAGCGCGACTGAAATCACACCTTTCACTTTTCAAAGTTTGACCTCCTCCAGCATGACCTCTGCCCCCCTCGCCCACCTCCCCCCGCGCGCGCTGCCGTCAAGCCGCTTTGGCTGCTGCGAATTCCTCAGGCTGTTACGCAACCCGGTAATCTGCATGCAGTGAGTCGCTGCCCGGGGTATTCCCCCTGCACAGCGCTGCCCTTCCAGGCTAAACTGGTCAGAAAGCGGCGCGGATCGCGGGTTTGACGCACAAACAGCCGCTCTGCCTCCGCGTTGTGCGTACAGCCGTCCGGTCCGGGCAGGTTCGGTTCCTTACCTTCAGCCTTCGCGGACTGACAGCAGCAGCAGCCCGCTGACAGTGGAGCCGATCCCGGAACGAGCCTGGCGGCTCTCCGACAGCAGAAGATGGATGGTAAAAATCCACAGCGGCCGCAGAAAACAGCGGAGCCGCACAGGAGAGGCGGAGGTTCCGCGCAAAACCAGAGAAAAATGTCCGAAATCCGCTTTTAAAACGTTTGCTTTCCGAGCAGCGCGGAGCTGCGCTGCTGCAGACAGACACTCAGTGATCTGGCTGTGTTGTGAGCCTCTAGCTGTGTGTGTGTGTGTGTGTGTGTGTGTGTGTGTGTGTGTGTGTGTGTGTGTGTGTGTGTGTGCGTGTGTGTGTGTGTGTGTGTTAGGGCGAAATCAGGAGACACACACGCACACACTCTGCTCACACGGGGGTTATTCCAAGCGCCACTTCCCAGAATAGCAGCAGAGAGGAGAGAGAGACGGAGCTGCGGACCGAGAGAGAGGGGGCGCGGGCGGGCGCGTGCACGACTGTGTTTGTGACGTCATCGGATCCCCCAACGTGCAACCAGGGCAGGGAGGGGAGGAGGGGCAGTGGCCGAGAGGAGGCTGTGTCTCCGGCGCAGAGAGAAGGATTCCCCGGTCACCTCTGGAGGCGCCGCCGCCGCCTGCAGGCTCTGCGCCGCCGCCGCCTGCAGGCTCTGCGCCGCCGCCGCCTGCAGGCTCTGCGCTCCGCTGCTCCGTCACTCAGCGTCCGGACCGGAACTCAACACGTCCGACACTTTATTGTTCTAAGAAAGAAAGCTTCAGTCACATCCATCATAGGGGAAGTTACTGTCCAGGTCAAATTCTGTTAAATTTTACATTTCAAATTATTTAAATATGGAAATACATGATAATTACTAAAGAAGCTACATTCAAGCACCAGTGGAAAGTTTAGTGCAGGGAGTCAACATCCAGTCCCGGGGCCGCTGTCCTGCAACTTTTAGATGTGTCTCTGCTGCATCACCTGAATACAATAATTAGGTCATTAAGGCTCTGGAGAACAAGGAGGAGGTAATTCAGCCATTTCATTCCTGTGCTTGTACCTGTGTACATCTAAAAACTGCAGGACAGCATCTGCAGGGTATTCCCCCTGCAGATGTGTGTGGATTGGAGTTTGACACCCCTGGTTTAGTGGAAGGAAGAAATGTATCAGAATATGCATAAATAGCTTTAGGAAGATTTTAAGTTTCAGGGAGATTCACAGGTTGAGTTACAGAAAATCAAAAACAGAGATGGATGGAAAATAGATTGGAATAAGATCTGGTTAAAAATCTGAATCAACTAGAAACAACATCAGGATAAGTTACGTCCCATCAGAATGAATGACAAAGAATCGGGACTCATTATAACACGATCAGATGGTTTGATGAGTTTCTGACGTTTGGGTCAGAAGTCATGAATCCTCTAAGCTGCTCCCTGCTGCTTCAGGGTCGGTGGTGGCAGCATCATGGTGTGGAGATATGATTTATAGACACGTTGGGCCTCTTGGTGATTAATCCACATTCAGAACTGGATCACAATGATCACAGTTCGGTCACTGGGTCAGTTTTATTGTCTATTGAAACGCGACTCGATTCCTGTCAGACTATTTATACTCAGATATTTGTCGATGCTGCAGTTATTTATAAATCAGCTGAAGCTGCTGAGAAAACATCTTGTGGCCTTTCTTCTGCTTTTTCAGAAGTTCAGCTGCAGCTGTTAGCGGGTCTCACTGCCTGCAGTGTTGGTGCTCACTTCTGCTAATAGGCTAATAGCAGAGCTAATTTCTAGCGCAGCTAGCTTCCCCTAAATTAGTTTTTCCTGATAAATTTTATCTTTACTTTTCTGTTTGTAAACATTCAGCCCAACTTGTGTCACGAAGTTTTAGTTATTGCTTTCCACTAAATACCATGTTAGCAGAAGTACTGCTAGCTGTTTAGTTAGCCCCTCACTGAGGTTGACAGTTTGTGGCTGTAAGTCACACTGAGTTGTTGAAAATGTTCATTAATGCAAAAAAATTTGTGCTGTGATATAAAAACTGAGTTTATTGTCCTGTTCTGCCTGGAAACAGATGATGCTCTGACCTGGGCGGCGTCCGTCCCTCCTGCCTGGGTCGGCCCTGTTTCTCTGGGCCGGTCAGCTGTAAGTGGATTAGCGTCCGCCGCCTCCCACAGGAGGATCACAGGGATGTGACCTCACCTCCAGTGACCCTCAGCGTCCCCATGGCGACGCCGTGGCAACGCAACACTATGGCAACCTCTGATCATCACTTTGCATCTGCTTTTCATGTTCGGCCTGCAGCGGCTTCCTGGAGCTGCAGAGATGAAAAATATGAATCATTAGAAAGAGATTTGATCTCCTGATCTCCTTCAAGAAAAATCAATCTTGAAGTGACTCACTCTGTGTGCTTCACTGAGTTTTCATTCCTTTTAACAGCAGAACCAGGGAAAAGCTAAACTGTTCATGTCTGTGAGCTTTATTTTGAAAGGTCATTTGTTCTGGTCAGGTTTATATCTCTAATCTGTCTTACAAAACATGAGTTTTATTTTGAAGGGCTGACTAGGTTAATTTAGTCGTGCAGAACAGCTATTACATATTGAAGCTTTTATTTTGAAAATACACAATTTTTTTCACAGTTGGTTTTGTTCAGATGTGGCGCTTTACTTTGAAAAGCTGAACTCGCTTTAGGACTTTTCTGTTTATTAAGTATTTTATTTTGAAAGGTAGAAGGAAGACTTGCTCACTGGCAGATTTAGGTTTTCACTGATGTCAACAAAACTAAGAGCACAGGAGAAACGTCAGTTTAACCCTTAGATAAGGGTCAAAGGTCATCTCCAAACCATCTAAAGTTCAGACAGGAAAACATCCCAACATCAGAGTGCAAAGCTCAGAGAAATTACTTCCATCTCAGACTCAATTAGCAGGTCAAAGGTTAAAGGTCATGACACTGAACCAATATGGCTGTTCTGGACAGTTGAAGGAGAAACTCTGGTTCTCTCTGGAAACAAGATGGCTACCGCAGCTGATCGGGAACGCTGCCTCTGACTCTCAGAGGGTTTCTGTGAGGGAGTATTTGGAGGCCGGATTGAGCTTCTGACAAAGCAACTGGAGTTGCTGCAACTGAAGTTGCTGCAATCCCAGTTGGTGAGTCACAATCAGATGGGAACTCCTGATCCTCCCAGTTCACGGCTCACCGACGATGTACAGTAAAGAAAAACAAGCGCCAACGAAGAACCTGCTGAATGGCAGGACAGCAGCCTGTAGCAACACACACACACACTCACACACACACACACACACACACACACTCACACACACTCACAGCGTTGCCTCGAGCTTTTGTCCTACAGTCAAACTGTAACATGGTTGCAGTGCTGTGACAGCTGACTGATTACTAATGCTTACTCATTCACACGCACACCCACGCGCCACTCCTTAAGGGACAGGAAGCTGCTGGTTGACACATTTCCTGGACCCTGGCCCGGTCAGAGGACCTGCTCCCTGCGTTAATCTCACCCCGGTTCAGTCTCTGCAGGTGTGGTCCAGGTGTTACGTAAAGGTGTGAGGGCAAAGGTCAAATCGGATGACATAACGGCTCCAAGAGGAACATATGTGGGAGAGTTCAGGATGAAAGAAGAGTGGAGATCAATTGACCTCCTGATTGTTGCTGAAACATTATTTAGGAGTCAAATGAACCGAAACGTTGTGGTGGTTTGGGGTGAAACAGCGCCCCCTACCGGCGGCCAGCATACCGACTACCACGATTCACCAGCTGCTCTGCTTTTACTCACTGAAATAATTTGGCTTATTAAGACAAAATGTGGATTCATTTATTCATAATCATAGTTTCACCATGTCATTCATTCATTTATTATTGTCACAGTTTCAAACTAAATATTTAATCAGCAAGCTAAATCTTTATTTTCACTAAATATTATATAATATTTATAAGCAAACTTTTTAGCAAAATATTTACTTTGGAGCTAAATATTTAACTTGCTAACAGAATATTTGTATTCAAACTAAATATTTAGTTAGTGAAATATTTGAAGATAATTATTTAACTTGCCAACTAAATATTAAGCTCCTAAATATTTTGCTAAAAAGAGAAACATTTTGTTATGAAACTAAATGTTGAGCTTGTTAAATATTTTTGCTAAAATCTAAATACTTAGCTAGCAGGCTAAATATTTATATCTATACTAAATATTAAGTTTGCTAAAATTACTAAATATTTAGCCTGTTAGCTAACTATTGGTCAACAAACTAAATACTTAGTTCAATATATGATGCTAAATAGTTAGCTTATTAGCTAGCTATTTGGCTAAACATTTAGTTAGCAAGCTAATAATTTAGCTGCATCCTTGCTAGCTGTAAAATACAGAGCCCGCGAGGGGACATGGGGAATTTTTTCTTTTGCGTTCCCTCGCAATACTTTTGCGTTTTGCGAGGGAACGCAAAAGGAAAACTCCCCATGTCCCCTCGGGGGCTCCGTAGTAAAATGTTTCATTATTATAAATTATTTAAAGTCACGCCAAATTAATTCATGTCATGAAAGAAAAGTTTGGAATATTATTCAAGTGTTATTATTCAGGTGTTATTAAGTAACAACATTATAATCATATCAAGACGATCGAAAGTGGCCTTCATCATAAGTTTCCCGCCCCCTGACATCATCATCATCATCATCACCAACACGGAAGCAGCGGAGCGCGGGGGGCCGGAGAGGACAGGCAGACAGACAGAGGGACAGACAGGAAGCTGGACAGGCGGACAGGCAGCAGGACAGGCGGACACACGCCCCGGGTCTCGGGGAGCAGCGGGACGCGTCCACGGCAGCATCCACGGCAGCATCATGGCGCTGATCCCCGCGCAGGTCCTGCGGGTCGCCATCCTGCTGTCCTACTTCTCCATCCTGTGCCACTACAAGGCGCTGGACATGCCGGCGCACCAGACCTACGGAGGCAGCTGGAAGTTCCTCACCTTCATCGACCTGGTCAGGCTCCGCATCGCCATTATCACTATTAGTATTGTTATGGGCATCAGCTGAGCATGCGCAGAGGCGCTGCGGCAGGGCGATCAGAGGATCGCGTTCCTGCCTTTGTTGGGCTGAACGGGAAGGGGCGGGGAGCGAACCGGGTCGGAACCGGGTCGGAACCGAGCCTTATGCTGCGGGTGAAGCTCTGAACGGTTCTGGAGTCGCGTTGGAAGCGACCGCCGCGGGTCTGCAGAGGTCAACGAGCTGAACCGGAACAGGTGCAACCGGTCATAAACAACTTCCTGTGTGCGGGAGCGCGCCGCGCGCACCTTACCGAACCGAACCGAACCGGGATGGAAACGTCTCTTGACGTTCAGAGAACCATAAAACTCTCTTCATGTTTCTCAGTGCTTAATGTGTCATTCAGCTGCCATCTCATAATTAATTTATAAATATCACACTTAATGTTTAATTTGCAAACTATATGTGAGGATAAAGATTTACCAGCTCAGCAGTTTCACTGACCTTGGTTACAATATTTAACTGGGAAACTAGATTTAGGTGGGGATCTAAATATTTTATTAAAAGCTAAATAGGAAAGCAAAATATTTCAAACTACCTATTTAGTGAGCAAACTAAATATTTGAGACTAAATATTCAGCTTGCTTTGCTCAGAAATAAATAGTTAAATATTTCATTAGCAAACAAAATGCTAAAGTTTAAACTGACCTTGTAAATATTTAGTTTGAAACTGTGACATCTATAAATGACTGAATAACACAAAGTACTAATATTATTTTCTTTTATTACAGGCTAAATAACTCAAAAATATTGCTGTTTAATTTGTTGCTGTAACTTTACAAATGGCGCATCAGTGATTAGATATGATTATGTTTATAGTCATCCTTCCAGGCTGATTGTTGCTGTCAGTCATCTGTTCTATAGAAAGCCTGACTGATGGGTGAGCAGCAGCCCCATATTAGCCTTCAGAAGCATTTATGGATGCTGTTGTGAAATCTGTTTAAGGAGTGAAGGGACCAAACACACAGCGGCCATTCAGGGAGAACAATGCAGCCATACAGACGGACAGACCGGCGGTTACTGTCTGTCTGCACAGAGCTGCTGCTGCTGCTGCTGCTGCTGCTGCTGCTGCTGCTGCTACAGGGTGGGCGATGGGCCCCGGGCTGGGTGATGGGCCCCGGGCTGGGTGATGGGCCCCGGGCTGGGTGATGGGCCCCGGGCTGGGCGATGGGCTCCAGGGTGGGCGATTGTCCCCGGGCTGGGTGATGGGCCCCGGGCTGGGCGATGGGCCCTGGGCTGGGCGATGGGCTCCAGGGTGGGCGATGGGCCCAACAGGCTCATCAAACAGGCTCCCGTCAGAAAGGATTGTGGGAAATGAAGTGAGTTGACATGAGAAACGTAGGCAGTCATTGTGCTTGTCTGAGTATGTGGGAACAGTTTCATGAGTTCTCAGGTTGAGCTTTGGCTGACCCACAGCTCCATCCTCACATCCGCTGGTGACACATTAGACTCCCACTGGGAGGAGGACGAGGAGGAGGAAGGCCTCCTCTCCAGAGGTCACATCCGTCTCTGTGGACGTTCGGTATCGACGGCGGTGTTCATTACATGATGGAGGTGACACCCTGATGCGTCCTCCTGCAGGTGATTCAGGCCGTGTTCTTCGGGCTGTGCGTCCTGATCGACGTGTCCAGTCTCCTGACCAAAGGAGCCGACAGCCGGGAGCAGGAGCGCCAGCTGAAGAAGCTGATCGGCCTGAGGGACTGGATGATGGCGGTGCTGGCGTTCCCCGTTGGAGCGGTGAGGACGCCGTCTTGACCCGTTTCTCCCATTTATTTAGAAATTTCAGGCAGTTTTCCATAAATCATCCAGTCATTTGTTGGAAACGACGGTTTTAACCTCTTATCCATCATGTTGGGTCATTAATCACGTTGTCCTGTTAAGAATTTGATTGGCAATTAAATATGTTCACAAATAATCGTGTCATGTTTGCCAACAAATGAAGCTGGAGGAAAATTAGTGAAAGGAAAAAATAAAGAGTATCCATCCTGTATAAGGTTAAAAAGAGACTCTAGATATTTTTTGGTTTCTAAAAGTTAAAAATTAACTGTAGTAACTAATAATGATGCAAAAATAATCCTAGAATGAGGAGCTTTAGTTTTATGACTTTTCCAACCTAAACATGGTAAAAAGCTGATCAACAGAATATATCATCACTGCCCTCTGAAAACACCGAGATCCAGGAAGATAATGCTAACGCTAACGAGATGCTAAAACTTTCCTCTGCAGTACAAGAAAAGCTCTGGAGCAGAACGCTGACCAACTGAAGGACGTTTTTTTGAGAAAAATAATTTTATAAAGATGTTAAATCTAATTAAAATATTGAAAATAAGCAGAATTATGAGTTTAAAAACCCGAACAGTTGAGAAACGTTAAAGAAGACGTGGAAGTGGCGTGTCGAGCCTCCTGCTGAGAGCAGAAAGGAGCCGATCAGGATTGGGTTCACACAGGTAACTCCATCCCAGTTCAGAACACGTCCTGGCCTCGGTCCAATCGCAGGGGCTTCCTGGAACCGGCTGATGGTGCCTTCAGGGGCATGGGACAAAAGGCTGCTGTGACACAAGGACGAGGTTCCTGTTAACTAACTCACCTCATCAATGAGGTAAAAACCTTTTGGAAAAAGTTCATAACCGACTGACAGGATCAGCTTACCTGTGGCGTTCCCCAAGGCGGCTTTCATGGCCCAGTTCTTGTTCTGCTGCTGAACAAGAACTGGTGGGTGATGGGTTTCCATCTCTTAAAGGCACAGTACGTTGTTCCTTCTTGTTCAGCTGATTGTTTCTACATGGGCTAAGAAACATGAATGCTAATTATTAACAGGAGCTGCAGCCACACAGTAAGAACCACTTTACTGAAAGGGTTGGCATGCCGAAGGTTCCCGGTTCAAATCCCAGAGGGACTTACTGCAGATAGAGTGCCTCCAACCATCCATCCAACCATCCATCCAACCAACAATCCATCCAACCATCCAACCAACCATCCATCCAACCAACAATCCATCCAACCAACCATCCATCCAACCATCCATCCAACCAACCATCCATCCAACCAACAATCCATCCAACCAACCATCCATCCAACCATCCATCCAACCATCCAGCCATCCAACCATCCAACCATCCATCAACAACCCATCCACCAACAATCCATCCAACCATCCAACCAACCATCCCAACCATCCATCCAACCAACAATCCATCCAACCAACCATTCATCCAACCATCCATCCAACCATCCAGCCATCCAACCATCCATCCAACCATCCATCCAACCAACAATCCATCCAACCATCCAACCAACCATCCATCCAACCATCCATCCAACCAACAATCCATCCAACCAACCATCCATCCAACCATCCATCCAACCAACCATCCATCCAACCAACCATCCATCCAACTAGGTGTGTGTGTGTCATCCAACCATCCATCCAACCAACCATCCATCCAACCAACAATCCATCCAACCATCCATCCAACCAACCATCCATCCAACCAACAATCCATCCAACCAACACCCATCCAACCAACCATCCATCCAACCATCCATCCAACCATCCAGCCATCCAACCATCCATCCAACCAACAATCCATCCAACCATCCAACCAACCATCCATCCAACCAACAATCCATCCAACCAACCATCCATCCAACCATCCATCCAACCATCCAGCCATCCATCCAACCATCCAACCAACCATCCATCCAACCAACAATCCATCCAACTAGGTGTGTGTGTGTGTCATCCAACCATCCATCCAACCAACCATCCATCCAACCAACAATCCATCCAACCATCCATCCAACCAACCATCCATCCAACCAACAATCCATCCAACCAACACCCATCCAACCAACACCCATCCAACCAACCATCCATCCAACCATCTATCCAACCAACCAACCATCCAACCAACCATCCAAACAATCATCCATCCAACCAACCATCCAACCAACCATCCAACCAACCATCCATCCAACCATCCATCCAACCAACAATCCATCCAACCAACCATCCATCCAACCATCCATCCAACCATCCAGCCATCCAACCATCCATCCAACCATCCATCCAACCAACAATCCATCCAACCATCCAACCAACCATCCATCCAACCATCCATCCAACCAACAATCCATCCAACCAACCATTCATCCAACCATCCATCCAACCATCCAGCCATCCAACCATCCATCCAACCATCCATCCAACCAACAATCCATCCAACCATCCAACCAACCATCCATCCAACCATCCATCCAACCAACAATCCATCCAACCAACCATCCATCCAACCATCCATCCAACCAACATCCAACCAACCATCCATCCAACCATCCATCCATCCAACCATCCATCCAACCAACCATCCATCCAACCAACAATCCATCCAACCATCCATCCAACCAACCATCCATCCAACCAACAATCCATCCAACCAACACCCATCCAACCAACCATCCATCCAACCATCCATCCAACCATCCAACCAACCATCCATCCAACAATCCATCCAACCATCCAACCAACCATCCATCCAACCAACAATCCATCCAACCAACCATCCATCCAACCATCCATCCAACCATCCAGCCATCCAACCATCCATCCAACCAACCATCCATCCAACCAACAATCCATCCAACTAGGTGTGTGTGTGTGTCATCCAACCATCCATCCAACCAACCATCCATCCAACCAACAATCCATCCAACCATCCATCCAACCAACCATCCATCCAACCAACAATCCATCCAACCAACACCCATCCAACCAACACCCATCCAACCAACCATCCATCCAACCATCCATCCAACCATCCAACCACCCAACCAACCATCCAAACAATCATCCATCCAACCAACCATCCAACCAACCATCCATCCAACCATCCAACCAACCATCCATCCATCCAACCAACCAACCATCCATCCATCCAACCAACCAACCAACCATCCATCCAACCATCCAACCAACCATCCAACCAACCATCCATCCAACCAACCATCCATCCAACCATCCATCCATATGGACAATATTCTCTAATCTTCTCTGATTGGTTGGGTTATGTCCAGTTTTTCTTTGTTCTTGTTTCTGACTTTGTGTTTTCTTCCTTCCAGTTTGTCGTGTTCACATTCTGGACCCTCTACCTCTACGACCGAGAGCTGGTCTACCCTAAGCTGCTGGATAACTTCATTCCTCAGTGGCTCAACCACGGCATG